CAGAATCTGAAAATGCTAACCCAGTAAAAAACAAACAAATCCTATGTGCTTTTAATGCTCTAGCCATTAATTGAAAGATAAAATAGATACTAGTTTGGTGTAAATATGCAATGAATGGGTCATTTGCATACCATACATTTACTTGTATTACTTTGTAATGGAGTGTAAAACACTAATTATGATAATCTGAAAATAATCTACAAATTTCTTTTTAGAATTTCAGAGCTCCCAGAGTGCCATACTGGCTGCAGACTATATCAGGGCACAGGGTGGGTTACGGTGTCGGAAAGCCCTCACTGCCAGCCACTTGCACAGATGGATACAGGAGTGTGTGAATTTGCCACCTGTAGAGCAGCCGCATAATGAAGATATTCCACCCAAGGTAATAACCGCTTTGTAGCAAAACTGAAAAAGATAGAAAAATAGACAGCTTACTAGCAAATGTATAAATAAAAAATGAATTTACATTTTACTATAACAATATATAGAGCACATTTTATGTTTGTTAATGTGACACCAAGTTGTGGACTCCTACGGCATTCTTCCATTAGTATCATGGGACATCAAATTTGCCACAATGCAAAGGTGCAGTGCGTTTTCTATTTTTTTTATTTTCCGCCCCTACATTATTCACTTCAGTAAAGGCTACAATAGAGTAGAGGGATCAGTGTACTTTTACTCCTCTGGAAGTAGCTCTAAAGTTACTCTTGAGGTGTAACCAATACAGCCAGAGGCTCTTTCTCCCGCGCAGCTCACAGTGTAAACTGGGAGGAGTGACCGGGTCAGTCACTCCCAGCTGTGATGTCATCTCAGGGGGCCCGGTCGCCACAGTGCTGACTGGGCCCCCTGGAAATTAATTTCCATCGAGTGGGCCATGGGCCCCTTAATGTGCTGCCCCGGTGGTTCTACTGCATAGGCAGGCACCACGTTCGCAGGGGTCTGAAGGGCGGCTGGCCCCCCTGGAGTGGCGGGCCCGGTCGCAGCTTTGACTGCGGTAGTTATGCCACTGAATACAGCTTATTGCAGTTGTGGTGCTAAGGAGCTGTCCCCAAAACTCTACTTTCTACCTGGTGATTAATTGTTACATCCCCCGTACCCTATTCACCATGGTGCCTGGAGTTCTTCAAAGGGGAAGTTTTTCCTTTATTGTTACTAAAAAGATTGTGTGATAATGCCTCTTTTCTTATGGATACATATGTGTAAATCCTCTTTTCAGTGCATATAATGGCAGACTGTTGGTCCATGATTGGTGGCCATCTTAGAGTCATCTGGTCAGAGTTGTAATCTATCCTACTGAAGTCTGTGAGGAATAAAATTAGTTCAGGATGTGCATGATCTTGCAACAGAAAGATGTTTTCCACGAGAGGAGACTTAAAGATGACTACTCCCTTGAAACTAGATATATACATATGTAAATAAACCGTGTATGCATTACGAAATAATACACAGAGAGGGCATATTACATGTAATTAAATGTATAGATTTTTTCCTATTCCAGGAACAAGATCTGGCAGTTCTTATAAAAAATGTGGACAGGAAAATAAGCCGGCTTTATAAATGCCTTAAAGGAAACAGCCTGTGCCTCGTCCTTTTCCCTGGTGCAAACAGGTATGAAAACATACAACAAGCAAGTTTACATGGGGGTTGTAATGTTCCTTCAAACACCCCTCCCATCAGTTGGCATGGGCGAAGTATATTATCATCCTGGTAATTATTTTTATATAGCTCCAACAAATTCCGCAGCGCTGTTCAATGAATGGAATAACAAACACGTAATTGTAATTAGACGTGTTGGAAACAGAGGGATTGAGGGCTTTGCTCATAATACAAATACTTGTGTGACAGGTGGACACAAATACTGCATGTCCCCATCTCCTCTGGCAGGCTTCAAACTAAAGGCTAAAACTCAATAGTAATTTTTAAAACTTTAATTTATACTGTTTTCATATATTTACAGCTCTGTATACATAATACATTAGTTACATTAATGTTGTGTTCTTTATTCAGGACTGTGCCTTATAGCTGATGTTAAACTTGAGCTCCCATCACGCTTGTCCCATTCTTGTGTTGACTGTTTTAGTATAACCTTTAGTGAAACCTGAGAGATCTTATTGGAGAACAGAAAATAGTAGAAAGTAGGTCTAGGCACTCAAGTTTTCTTCAAAGAGGCAGATTTATTGAATACTGAATCCGCAACGTTAAGGCCTTCACAGAGGCCATTCACCCGCCTCTTTGAAGAAACCTTGAGTGCCTAGACCAGGGATAGGCAACCTTCGGCACTCAAGATGTTGTGGACTACATTCCCCATAATGCTGGCAAAGCATCATGGGAGGTGTGGTCCAAAACATCTGGAGTGCCTAAGGTTGCTGATGCCTGGCCTAGACCTACTTTCTACTATTATCTGCTAAATTGGGTTTTGATGCACCTAGTTTTCACTGTGAGTGCAGTATCCTTTGTGTCCATCAACACAGTAATAATGGAGAACAGGTCATACAAACAAACAAAAGATTCCTAGCAATTGGAAAGTTTCAAATTTTCAAAGTTTTCTCTCTAAAGTGTTCAAATGACGTGTAGAATTCTGAAATGTTTCTCTTCTCTTGTAGATCAAATGGAAAACTTCCAGGCTTTGGTTTCATGGGAATAAAAGGATCTTGATAAACAATGAATCACCACGCGATTTGACTGCATTTTTTTTTTTTTTAAATATAAATAAAACTTAATACAAGGCAAAAAAATGGTAAACGCGGAGAACAGTTTTTAACCTGTGTTAACTACAGGTTGCAGCAAAGAGAAACTTTGACATCTCGTCATAAAAAAACAGCACACATAATACAAACTAGATCCAAGTGCTCATGAATAAAATGAGAATTTGAACTATGCATTATGAGGAATAATAAGCACTTGTAACTCCAGGTAAATTGTCCATTTCAATAAGGAAATGGTAATTCATAAATCAAAACACTTTTTTCAGAATGACACCTGTATATTTACTATAACATGTACAATAATTATAGTAAACTTATTTGTTATGGGGATGTAGTGGATAATATATATATATATTGGAAGCAGTGTGAATTTGTGGGATGGTAGAGTGGCTGTGTCGTGTGGGGGGGAAAGTGAGAGAATAGTAGATTTATATATTTATTATAGATAGTTATTCACCCTCCCTGCTTCTTACCCTTATTCAGAGTTGGGGAACATGCAGATACCTGGGGTGCGGTGAGTGAATTTAGCTAGCACCTCCCCAAGGTACATATTGGGTACACTCTTCTCGCAAGCCTCCACGGCACTGGGTAGTATCAGAGCATTGCTGTGTTAACACGTGGCAACACTCAACATCGTGTGAAAAATAAAGAAATGGTCGTAAAACCAGAGTGGGAAACAAAAAAGTGCTTCTTTTTGGGCGTAAGTGCTTCTTAACACAATAGTATGTTATTTCAGCGACATGAGGATGTAGTGTTTGTACAGAATCAGTGCCACACGGAGTTATTTTGATGCATTTTGCCAACAGGAGTTTATATTAGAAGGGAATTTTCCTCATTCATTTTTGAATTCACGACAATTCAGGTTTTTTTTTAAATAAACCAGGTTTTTCCACACTGCTCCAAAAATTGTGTCCTCTGTACACACGTTTCCTTCAATCCATTTATACAGCATTACAAACGAGTTCCTGTATTAAAAAACACAAAACACACTTCACAGAGAATTGCACACACACACTGAGTGGGTCTCACAGAAACATCCTGAGAGCACTGCACAGCTGGGACGGCAATGGGTGGGCCCCACACAATGGGGAGAGTGACAATAGGTTTGCCAGATGGTCTGCAAAGTTGCCCTGCCTGCTGTGTCTAATTCAGTTATTGCCACAGTGGCTTTCATTAGAGTGTCTGTGTGTGAATGCAGGGGTGTATTTGTCAACATTGTGAATGCATATGTCAATGCTGGAAGGTATGTGAATTGTGTTGTTACCCGATCCAGAATTATTGACAGTTACATAGTACCAACATATTATGGAGTAGGGATCGACCAGTTATCGGTCTGGCCGATATTCGGTATTTTCGGCAGTATCGGCCAATAGAGATACCGATATTGCTGATGATACATACCAGGTCCGCCGGGCCTATTACAAGCTCAGCAGTCCTGGGGGGGGGGCCCTAAGCAAGCTCTTACCTTCCCAGCAGCTCCCCTGTCTAAATCTCGCAAGGGGGGGGTGAAGGGAGCTGCTGGAAAGGTAAGTAAGCACTTGCTGCTGAGCCCCCACTGTATTTTCCAAGCCACCGGACCACCAGGAAATACTATATCTATCCCCCCTCCCTGGTAAGAAGCGGGGGGGGAGAATTAAATATTTAAAAAATTATATATATATATATATATATATATATATATATATATATATATATATATATATATATATATATATATATATATATATATATATATCTATATCCCTCCCATTTTACACAAATTACATCCCTACTTATAAACACAACGCATTCATTACATACACATTACACACACTGCATTCACTATACACACTACACAAACACACTCTTGCATTCATTATATACACACACACTACACAGCTCCCCTGTTTAACCCCTTAAGGACTAAACTTCTGGAATAAAAGGGAATCACGTCACGTGTCCTTAAGGGGTCAAACACACTGCATCCACTACATGTGGCATGTATATTTTGTGAATTTACCTTTAGAAAGTTTATTTTTTCAAAATGGTAAATGTACAGAATATCGGCAAGTTATCGGCCTGAAAGTTCACAAATTATCAGTATCGGCTCTAAAAAAAAAAAAAAATATCGGTCGATCCCTATTCTGGAGAGCGTTACAATTTTAATGAGGGAACAGAAAAGCAAGGAACTAACTAAAACATGTGTATCAAGAAATTCAGCAGCTGTGAAAGGATTTTTGCCGCATACACAAAAAGGCTTGCCCTGGCATAAATGTCACATTTTCTAAGAAACATTCTGGGAAGCTCTGTGCAAGATGAGCAACAAGGAAGAAAATAAGGACAATGTTGGTTACAATAGTAATAGAAACTTAAATCTTTATTTGTAGGTAATGCCTTCCAACACTCCCCCTCCACAGCTGTGATAGCATCATGTTCCGATAAATAATATAGATTATGCATTGTTGTAGGGGGTTCTTCTCTTATTACAGTTTACTAGTGATCAAAGCGTTCCAATGAACCAACTTATCACAGATCAGAAACAAACGGAGTGTTCTCCAGATTTCCAGATGCTGCAAAAGACTTCTTTCCAGATGCAAACTTCTTTGCAGCCTTTAAAAGAGGGGAAAAACAAACATTACAAAATGAAAACTGCAGCCACTGTTAACAAGGTACAAACTGACTTCTGCTTAAATAAATAACCTGCAATCACGATTAGCATAGATAGATGCTAGAACTAGGTACAGATGATTTTGTTGTGAGCATTATTAGAGCAATAACAACAGGATAGAGGCCATAACAAGTTGTGTAACTGGGACCAGTGACATGGCAGATCTTATTGAACCCACTTCCATTTACAGAATGCAGGTAAACCGGAAATGCTCTGCTAGCCACCCAACGCAAGTGACTGCTATCTAAGGGTTATGACATTGCTAGTTGAAATCATTGGTGCCAATATTTTGGCATGGACTACACACACACACACACACAACTAAAAAGTTCTTAATAATTTGGCACAAATTAGTAAATCATAAATTAAAATATTTATCACCAACATTTCAAAGTTTAGTCCTAAATCGTAACCTCAATCTCAAAGTCAGAACCAAAAACCTAATTGACCAACCCTACCCGGAAATCAGTTACCCTTCATCGTAATACACAACATATTTTAATCCATCCCTTAAATAAAAAAATTTAAAAAAAAAAATGAATAAGAATTTTTATAATCCCCTTAAGGACTGAGCCAAATGTACACGTTTTGATCAAAATGAAACAAACAAAACTTGGAATTTGGCTATACCTTGGTTGTCTACTTTTGCAAATGGTATGCCATCATGGGGGTAATTCTCATTCATGGGCTACCATATGGTCTCAAAGGCAACGTAACCAATCTGGTGAATTTCAATGCGAAAAAACTGACACACAAGCCTTATATTTGACTATATAGTCATTTTGTTAATTACAATTTAATTTGCTAGCACTATATTTAACCCTGAAGTCTCTTGAGTAAAACAGTACACCGCACAGGTTTTATGGTGTCTTGGAAAGTTACAGGGTTAAATGTAGTGATAGCAAATTAAATTCTCTGGACTTTCGGCCTGGGTTATCAGGCAGGTCCCGCAAATTGTAATTAACGAAATGACTTAATTATGTAAAAATATTATATATAGTGATATATACATGTATTAATATCAAAATACAATTAGAACGAAATTACATATATTTTTTATTTTAACGTATTTATATATTTTATATTATATAATTAAAATACACTTAGACAGTATGTGTGTATAATATATATATATATATATATATATATATATATATAAATCTAAGTAAATATTTAATTTTACACGGTTTTAACTTTTATTTAGCTTTTTACAGGCAGCAGGGGGACTACCTGTCATTCCAGGCACTCCCCCTGCTGGCACTTCTATGGACAGCTATTCCGTCCATGTGATTGTGAGGTCCTGTTCAGAGGCAGGGGGGGCTCACTGGAAATCGCCAGCGAGCAGGTAAGTCCCCTGGATGCTGGGGATGTATTATGCTGCCCGCGTTTAGAGCCGGGTCCCCAAGAACGCAAGCCCGCCATCCTTAAGGGGTTAAACCTAGCCAAAACATCCAAACTTTATTACAAACCTCCTACCTGGATAATAATTCCACAAGTGGGAATGTTAAATAAAAAAAATAATAATATAACACAACGTCAACTCTGGACTATGTATTGATACCCCTGAGTGGCTGTTTGTAGGTGTTTAAGTTTGCAGCCAAAGTGTTTTCTCTTCTAATAAACATTGGCATACAACTAGTAAACTAGTAAAAAAAAAAAACAAAAAAAAAAAACACAATGATATAAAGGAGATGGTGTCAAATTAGAATATCCTCAAATCACTCACATTTACAACTTCAGCACTGGTCACAGAGTCGATCTGCTGGACGGCATCATTTGGTGATGTGTATGAACCAGATACCAAGGCCTGGGAACCGATCTCATTCAGCAGCCCTGTTGAGTTTTCCACAGATAGCAAGTAGTGGAATTTGAGCTGGTTTCTAGAAACAAAGAAATCACAAAAATGGACTGTGTTTACAAAACATTAATTGTAATGACCGGATATCCAAACTGAAAGGCCAAAACAGAGGAAAATAGGAAGGCTGTATTCAGGACCCATAAATGGGAGTTTGTGGTAAAAACATGATAGGACCATGACCTCAGAGGAGTCCATTGTGATGACAGGTGTGTCTAACATACAAAAATCATACTTAAAGGGACACTATAGTCACCCAGACCACTTCAGCTCAATGAAGTGGTCTGGGTGCAATGTCCCTCAGGTTTCAACCCTGCAGATGCAAACAGCAGTTTCAGAGAAACTGCTATGTTTAAATTGCAAGGTTAAGCCAGCCTCTAGGTGCTGTCTTCCGGACAGTCACTAGAGGCGCATCTGCGACGCTGGAGGCATATTATGCCTCCATCGCGCAGAGCGTCCATAGGAAAGCATTGACAAATGCTTTCCTATGGACACTGAATGCGTGCGTGGCAAGTGCATTCGGATCCGCTGACGTCGGCAGCGGAGGAGAGGTCACCAGCGCCGAGGGAGCCTGGCGCTGAATTAAGGTAAGTTGCTGAAGGGGTTTTAACCCTTCAGCCCAGTGGGAGGGGGACCCAGAGGGTGGGGGCACACTCAGGGCACTATAGTGTCAGGAAAACCACTTTGTTTTCCTGACACTATAGTGATCCTTTAAGAAGATTAACCCGCCCCCTCATACTTCAAATAACCACACGCAGACCACTGCAACAGTAGTAGCAAGAAAATATATAGGGATATCTATACTAGAATGATAAATTTAGATCTTCTGTGTTTTCTGCACCTCTAATAAGTGCAGATTGGCAACTGCAGGAGCGAGAGGTGATTAGCATTGCCAGAGTGGGCAGAATAATGGGTTGGTTGATATTTGCTTTGGGAAGCCTTATCGTGGTGGAAAACTGTAAAATTTGGAGAACATGAAAGAGCTTGGAGTTCGCCTAGCCTTTTGGCTGCTGTAATAGCCACTAGAAAAGCACTCTTCAGGAATAAGAGCTTAAAGGAGATTTCATCCAGTGGTTCAAAATGAGCTTCACACACAGAGTTAAGTACCAGCGGCAGATCCTATGTTGGGAAAACAGACTTCTATGGTGACATTTAAAGTCATGTGGCAAAAAATAAATAAAAAATTATTTATCTTCTGATCCGAATGTTGGATTCCAAATCTATTAGAAGAAAATGGCTGAAAGAGCTGAAACTTGAACTTTCAAATTAACCACACTGAAAACTGACGAAAAGCCATCTTGCAGAAATCCAAGAGTAATGTGAATTGGTGGAGAAACAACTGTAGCCAGGTTTATTACACCAGAGAAACTTTCCCCCCCCATATTTTTAAGTTGATCTTCGATGTCAATTTTCTGGTTGAGATGAGCAGTAGATTATATGTACGTTCCTCCAGTCCTTGCTTCCTATATATTAACCTTGCAGCAGCCATGTCATCAGTCGGAATATCTGAACTGTCTGCATAAGTAGAGGTAGTCCTATGTTGCATATGGGTGACAGAAAATATTGTCTCCATCTAAAATTTTTGGTATTGAAGAAATGTATATACCTTCTTCAAGTCTAGAACAAGATGAAAGGAGCTGTCCTGTTTTAGAACTAGAAAAAGGTCTTGAATAAACTCCCTGAAATTGTTGTAGCATGGGAACCATCTCTAAGACGCAATTCTGGAGCAGAACCAGAGTTTGACTAATAAAGCATCGGTCTTCACTTAAGAACTGGAAGTTGAACAAAGGAACTGGGAAGATGGTACCTCTAGAAATCTTATTTCGTACCCATTTTCGAATGTGTCTAACACCCAAGGATTTTCAGTGGTCTGTTCCCATTGTTGAATAAACGCTTGCAATCTTTCTCCCACACTCTTTGTCTAGCATCATAATTTTCTCCTTTTATCTTGCCGGTTATGTGTCAGTTTCTCACCGGACCTGCAGTTTCCTACCCAAGCTGTGAAAACGATCATTATATCAGCAAGATCTTTGTGTGCATGGAAAGAACCGACTGTTTCATTTGCCTCTTTTATATTGAGGGATCTGCGGTCCAGGATTTTAGCCAGATCACTCTTTTCGCCACAGATGAGAGACCCATGGCCTGGTCATGTCACATAAAAATGTGTTAGCCAATCTGAAGTTTTTCAGGAGATTATTCAGTTCTTTGCTCTTTCCTGCTAGGAGACAATCTTCCACAGAGTGTTACTACGCTCTGGCTAAGGAGGATCCCGAAATGTTGGCTTTACATCGGAAGGCTGCTGCTTGAAAAGTTCTCCTGCAGTAGGTCTCTGCTGACTTGTTTAGTGGGCCCCTGTGCCCAGACACTTCTGCAATGGGAATTTTTTTTTTTTTTATAACAGTGCAACATGCACATCAATTCTTCCCAGCTGTCAATCTTGTAACTTGAACATCTATTTGAAATACAGGTTCTCTTCTCTGGGGTTTTCCATTACTGATTCATGAGGTTTGAAAATCTTGGATGTACTGCGAGACCCTTCCCTTTTTTCTGTAGGGTCTCATCTCCCCCCATAATATTCTCCACCTCTTTAGCAAACTTGTTTAATTCCTCTTCCAGAAAACCAGAATCTGAAGTCGACTCATGGGTAAATGTACCTGACCAAAATGTGTGTGAGCATTCGCCTGATGACAAGTGAGAAGATAAAGAGGACCCCTGCCTTTTTTGACTCAGTCCCAGACAGATGCAGAATCTCTTGATATAGCAGCTATTTATTTAAATGCCTCAAGAGTCTGAGAGGTTTTCCTGCACCCAAGAAAAGTAGGCATCTCCTTTTGTTTAGCATTGGTTACAAATCTTTTTCTTACAGCAGTCTGGCGGGGGAATGGCACATTCAATACAAGCTAGAGGCATTAAAGGGACACTCCACTGCCCAAATACAAATCACGGTTTAGTAGATATACCCCACAAATTAGAACGTTCATGCATATAATGATGCATTTTCACTGGGGGTATATCTAAAACCATATCGCAAAACCTGTCCTCTAGTCTGCAGCATTTGCAAGCCCTCCCCTTCTAACCCTGCTCAGACTTATAAATGCAGCTCAAAGAGAAGTATTGCTGCCCACTGATCTATCCAAACTAGGAAGTAACATGACCCGCTGACTGCTTTAAAGACAGGAGGTTGTAACCAGTATAATTTATAAACGTGTCAACTTCTATTAAAATCCAAATGCATGCGGGGCCGATAAGAACTGATGCTGTGGCCTGCTTGTGGTTATTTAAAAAAAAAAAGTATGCAGGGTGTTCTTTCTTTAATTTACATATTTAATTATAGCGGCTGTTTGTCCACCTTAAGGAAGAAGATCCCTCTTGTACTGATGCTCTACACCAGGAAAAGTCTAATTCTACATAAGCTTGCAATTTTGCCATTATTAGACTATACAGTTAACTCAGCCAAATATATTGTATTTTTTGTAATATTATATTGTAGCAATGCAGTTTTTGTGGACATATAACATACTTGAAAACAAGAGAAATCTCAAATCTCAATGAGATATATATATAGAATCATTGCTAAACACAAATGCACACACCAGTCAAGCCATAAGACTTGCTCTTCCCTCAGAAATCTCTCTTTAACAGTGCTCTCACTGCTGCAGGTAGGCGTATGCAAATGAGCTCAACAAAGAACCAAATTTTTGCCTCATAATTCCACTTTATACATGAATTTCTTGGAGTATGTGTTTGCTGTATACAACAGCTTTGAAGCACAATTCGGAAGAGGAGCAAAGCCAGCGAACCACTCATGGACAGCTGTTTTGTTGTTAATGCAACTCATCAGCATGAGGTTGGTTACTGGTTTGCTATGGAAGCTTGGCATCACTTGTAAAGTACATACCAAGAGAGTTGTGGTGGGGAAAAAAAGTGTGGATGAAAAAAAAAAAAATATCAAGAGTTACAGTATTGTGAGTCCATAATTTAAATGGCCATGTATCATATTTAACCATTAAACTAAATATAGTCTGCTTTGGAGAAAGAAATAAGAAAAAAAATAAAAAATAAATAAATAGTTATTTGGCATCTAAAAGTAGTGACTCACTTAGCTCTCGCAATGTCAGCCTCTGTCACGCCACCCTGTGCAATTGCCTTCACCTGATTAACAGCAGCCTTAATAACCTGAAAAGAGATTGAAATGTATATAGCGTACCCGTACCATTATATGTGGTATTTCACTATAAGGTTTAAAATGCTTACAAATATAAAACAACAAATGTTTATGATAAATGGTCCACTTTTAGACATTAATTTATGATCTATGTCTGCCCATACAATAAGGTGGTGGTTGAGAGGTTTGTCAGAAAACCAGATAACCTAACTAGCAGACTAAGGTGCCTTTTTATTCACAAACTGGGCCATTTGCGGTTTTACACATTACATTACTTGTGATATTAATAAAATCACTGTCATTATCTAAAGAATATGTCAGTTTTGAAGAAATAGGTCAACTCAACACAAAAACAGGTCAGCGATTCACTACATACTAGCTGCAGTACAATTACAAATAAAAACAATATAGTATAATAATAATAAATAGAATAATGCAAACGCAAAATAATTAAACTAAAAACCACAGAACATATTAAATCTTACTTCATCTGCCGCTGCTGCCTGGGAGATGGTGTAGATTCCAAAGAGACCAGAATCAGAGTAATTGACATTGAATGCGGAAACCTAAAACACAAGACAGTATTAAAAAAAAAACAAAAAAAAAAAAAAAAACTCTGGACTGTATCTTAAAGAAATACGTAGCATGACATACATCAAACGGTTGATTGGTAGCTTTGCTCACGGCTTGAGACAGCTTGCTGCTGGTGTTACTTCCCCTCTTGATGAAGGGACCAGCACCAAGAATGTGCTGCAGGACACTGAATGCATTGGCATCAGGGCTCCCAAGAGATGCTCCTTCAGCAACAAGAGCAGCGTGGACCAGGTCATCACCATTCTGTACTCTGATCTCACCTGCAAGATTATATATTTACCAGTAAGAATGCAAACAAGTACAGAAAAGACACAGACTAGCACTATCACAGAAGTTGTTCAAAACACTAACAGGGCAACAAAAGAAACTCCCTAAACACTCAAGGTGTTAAAGCTGCAGGCAGTTTTATTGAAACAAAAAGAACAGCAAAGTTTCGACCTGCTAAAAGGTCTTGTTGCCTTGTCGTTGTGGGATTGTTGGTCCTGCTGGGATTGAGTGCAGCCCCTACCATTACTTTTACAAAACATTAAGAGGTCACACTGCCTAACTTAGCAGAAATCAGGCTCAGAGTACAGCTCTTTGAGACTAGTATAAAAGCTACAGCATTGAGCAGCTTTAAAACAGTTATTGTTTAAACTCCACTGTAATAAACACTGGCTCAGCACTATACATAGTTTACAAAGTGGTTTTGTTTAATTATTGAAAGATTAAACCTGCTGAGTTATTCTTTATAATTTAGTCTTTAAAGATCCTGTTCTGCAGAAATCTGTAGATGTTATATTTGATGTGGAGGCACAAGATCTCACTGTTGGTATTACACTTTGATATTGGAAGTAGAGGGGACATTTTTTTTTTTTTTTTTAAATGATAATTTTAGACCATAATATTGGTGTGATACACATCTCTATTACACACCAAAAAAGCATGATAGAAAACATTGCCAAACTGGTGCTTATCGGAGGACTGTAAATACATGAAAATCCACCTACCACCACGATACTGAGCTTTCACACTAGGAGATCCAGGACCACTTCTAATGTTCAGGAACTGCTCCCCAACCTGCTGGAGGACAGAATGGCTCACTCCTGGAAATAAAATAATTTTTATAAAATGTTTATTCTGTCATAATTAAACAAGGAGGCGATTCTTAACAGACTGATGCTTTCGGGTTATTGTACAAAACGTCTATGCAATAACCACAGCAGAAGTGGTTCTCTCAATTATACAACAATATATTCAAGTTTAAACATTTCAAAATTAATCCTAGATTAAGCAACTCAAGTTTATAGAATTAGAAGAACATTTTAACGTTCACATTTCTGACGGGACACATTCAGACCTCCAAATTTCATATACACACAGTTGACAGTGACTAGATACAACAGTAGAGTTATTTGGCATATGTGTTTAGATTTAAAGGTACACTCCAAACCCCCAATACATTTTTGTTTGCCAAGAGATAGTTTGCTGAATGTCACTTCTGTCTTATTTTTTTTTTTTAAAAGTGTTGATTTATACCATACATTCACAGAATTCTTACATACAAGATCGCACAAGTTATTTCACTCAACATGGATCCACAAATACGGTTGTTTTTCTGCATGTAATGTACATTTAAAACCAACAATTGTTGACACCTTTTGTCATACGCAATTACTGTTCTGAGAAATTGACCTACCTAAGCCAACCAGTGCCATTCTTGCACTTGTGAAATGGTTCTGTACAAAATGTTGCAACTACAAGAGGGGGGAAAAAAAAATATACAAATCAAAATACAGAAGAAGAGGTGAATGTAATGTTTTGACTTCTAATAGGGAGTGCTTACAGCTTGTTTAAAGAAATATTTTGTTTCAAAATAGCTTGGAGTCTATTGGACTTTGATTTTAAAGTAATAAATGAAATAAATGGAGTTTTGCATTTCCTGCCAAAGTGTAAGAATTCTTGGTATCATAATGTGTCCTACAGACCATCAACTGCAAAGATAGATGTATGAAATTGAATCAAATCAGGACCATGGAGATTCCAAAGAATGCGTTATTTTAAACAGCCACCTAGCATGATCTGATTATACAAATGGACCAAATATAATTATAGTTTGAGAGGTATATACAGCCTTGGTGAAATAGTTTAGGTCTGTGTTTTTAAGTTTTTATCAGGTCAGTACCTCTCAGGCACCTCTGGGGAAAGATTGATCATAATACTCATTGGAAAACAACTAGGTAAATCCTAAATCTTGATAAAACGGTCTGAGAAGCATATATAAGGACCCAAACTGTAAGTCATACTGACTTCTTAGAGTAATTCATGTTACTACTTTTTTTCACCTCTTCAGATGTAAGTTTTCCAATTCTATAGTCCGGACAGAACAAAGAGTTAGCAAGTGTGTTTCGGTAAGATGCAGAGTGAAGATTCTCCAGGACGCCTAATTAAAAAAATAAATAAATAAGATGCTCACAAAATTTGCACATCTTCATGCTTTTATCTAAGTGTAAAACTCACCAACTTGTGGATTTTGATAGGCAAAAGCCTTATCCAGTTTAACTTTCTCTTTGAGGTCAGACACCTCCCACCTCCTGAATTCAGGTGCTGTGGTCACATTAATGAGGTATTCCATTACAGTGTCTCTAAAGGCAATAATAGAATATGTTAAAATACAAACCTAGCCTCAATCATCTCAGTAGAACATTTGGTGGAGTTAAAGCAAAGATTTGAATAAGATAAGGAAGTAAGTCAATGAAAAGGTCAAAAAGTATTTAATATATTTTAGTAGTAGATATAACTTTCCTTCATGGTTCATATCTCTGGACATGATTAACAGTAGCACGTTTGAAAGTTCTAGTCTCTAGTTAAAGGGACTCTCCAGTGCCAGGAAAACTGCAGGACCCTACAGTGCCCCTCTCCCTCCCGCCCCCAACCCCCATCCCAAGTTGCTGAATGGACTTAACGGAGTCCAGCGTCAATGTCCTTTAGCGCTGGGAAAGGCTCCGCCTACTCTCCTCCCCCGCCGTCAGCCGGTGGGGGTGAGACCTAATGCGCATGCGCGACAATGGCCGCACACGCGCATTAGACCTCCCCATAAGAAAGCAATAATCAATGCTTTCCTATGGGGATTTCGGCGACGTTGGAGGTCCTCACATAGCGTGATAACGTCCAGCTTCGTTTAACCCCTTAAGGACACATGACATATCATGATCCCTTTTATTCCAGAAGTTTGGTCCTTAAGGGGTTAAAACACTTTGTGTTCTAAGAACACAGAAGTCTCTCTAGTGACAGCCACTAGAGTAGGACTTAACTCTGCAAGGTAATTATAGCAGTTTATAATTAACTGCAATAATTACACTTGCAGGGTTAAGGGTGGTGGGAGTTGGCACCCAGACCACTCCAATGTGCAGAAGTGGTCTGGGTGCCTGGAGTGTCCCTTTAAGAGAAATTTAGAAAAATTCAATCCCATCTCTCTCAGTATTTTCTAGAGATAAGCAGTCTGTTTTAATATTTAGAGTGTGTGTGTGTGTGTGTGTGTGTGTGTGTGTGTGTATTATCTATATATTTTTATGTGTGTGGAGGTTGGTCATTATATGTGATGGCCTATCTTGATACTAAGGAGAAGGGAGAAAGAGAATATTATATATATATTTTGATGTATTAAAAAAAAAAAAAACTAAGATTTGAAAAAAAAAAAATGAATACAAATTTAGATAGCATTATTATTCCCCCTATACAAATTCTATAAACCAAGCATACACCCAAAAATAAAATTAAAAAAAAAAAAAAAGCTGCAGGAAGAGCTGCACATTTTAAAAGAGGCAACATTTGAATGTCCTGGTGATTAACGCTGGTCATAATCTACGTAAAAGAAAAAAAAATAATAAAAATAATAAAAAAAAAAAAAAAAAAAAAAAAAAAAAAAAAAAAAAAAAAAAAAAAAAAAAAAAATAGAGAGAGATAGAGATCATACACACACACACACACATCTCTGAAATATAAAAAAAAGTTAAGTACAAAAACCAGAGACAACGTATTTAAAACTGGTGAAAACTATTTCTAGATGCAAGAAGAAAGCCACTACATTGTGGAGGCATAAGATAACGTGTCTTGTGTGGCATTTATACTTACATATAATCCCTTAGACATTCTACAGAATACACCATGTTTTCTCTTGTAGAGGTCACACTGTTGATGAATAATAAATGTAAAAGTTACAAAATGACCACAAAATATATAGCTTTGTCTTCTGCAGCATTTACAAATGACAAACTATAACAAAATCATGTTCCCATTTCTTAAGTACATACCTCAGTCCACCACCAACAGATTCAACTCCACGTGTTATTTTAAAGGATGAGGCTCCCTTGGTACTCTAAAGAAATAAATCAGTGAGGACTTGACGGTGCTTGTAAGAAAGCATACTTTATAAAATCAATAATTATTTTATTTTACCACTGGCCAGGAAGCAGCACTGCATATTTTATATTAGCATTTTACTTTTAAATATATATCCAATAATAGAAAAACTCGATATCTGCCAGCATCATCATGATAATCTTAAATTTAAGAAAGATTAAAAAAATATATATAACTTTCTCAAGGGTGAGCAACTTTATTTAAAAGTTGTTTTGGGGGCTTAACAGAATAATACCTTATTTAAAGTTTGAGTCTTAATTTACTTCCCCACTCACATTAACTGTTCATCCAAATATTTTCACTGGAAACTTACATATTTCTTGCAATATTGGAGCCTGGTATTAAAGTTAAAGGGGTAGTTTCAAATATAATAGAATATATATTTTATTTTTTTTAAAAATTTTTAAAAGGGCATTTAACTCAAGGCTCGACAAATCCCATGCACCAGGACGCCATGGCAACTTGGATTTGTCAGCCTTTCAACTAAGGTGGCGCTCCAAGGGAGCTTTGAAGGTGGCCACTGCGGGGAACATTGGAGCGGCTGGCTGAGGAAGCAATAATCTTCCAGCAGTTCTTCTCTGCTCCCTCGCATGCTGTTTAGTGGTGCCGGGAGCAGGCTTTCTTTCATTACAGACCCTAAACTAATTCTTGATATAAGTTCACTGTGCATTTCTTGACTGCATAGATCCCATGGGGAGTTCTCTTGGGAATTCATCTTTTTAAATATGCATATGTATGTATTAAAGTTGCATTAATGCCAAGAGTGTCCCTTTAACAAACTAACATTTGGCACAGTGTGTAATAGGTGCCATTATACTACTTACCAAGTTACTTGCAAGACGTAACACATGGTTAACACCCAGATTGCTGGAATTTTCATATCTGCTTCCAGCCTTTATAAACACTCCAATTTTGGAAGCAGGAGAGTAATTCTCCAGGGTAGCCACCACCACTCCATTTGGCAGTTTTGTGATCTGCAGGAAAAAAGATAAGTTCATAATAAATTACTATTTACTTTGACCTCTATGCATACTAAAGGGATGTTCCCAAGCTAAAAACTGAATAAAGACTGAATGTATGCTTTTACATTGTTTTTGGTGTGTGTCAGTTCCCAGTATACATAAGACACTGAAAAGATCCCCATGGACGTTGAGGATGAAAATGCATATAGCACCAACTAATCGGTGTGCACTTTCTGATTTAGCCCAGTAAATTCTACATATCCCCTACATACACATGCTAAATTACCCTAGAAAACAGACAAACACTGTTACCACTATAGTTACTGTAGAAGTTATAAGGTTAACAGGGTATGGGTTTAGTGCCCATTTTGTTCAACAATAAAAAATAAAATCATTAAGTCTCATAGCCCTTTTGATGCAAAATCCAGGAGTACTACAGCTTCTCAAAACAAAAGGTTGAGGAACAGCATCAAAGCGGTGGAACTAATAAAAACAAAAAAATTTCTAGATTAAAAAATAAATAAAAAAATAATTTTTTAAAAATGCATCTTAGTAAATATAGAGATTCTACTTTCAAATATTGAATAGTTTATAATACAAAAAAAGATTGCACACTAAAATAACTCCAAAGAGGTATATACATAAATGCTTTTATTAAACCACAATAACAAACATAAAGCATAAAGTAAAGTGACAATAAGTAAGGCAATCAAATATACAATGATAAGTCACCACAAATTCCACAAGCATAATCTGGCAGAAACACAAGCCCCTTTTTATATAGTATTGTTTAGGCACTGGAGGGAGTGCTTGTGAGTATTAGCACCTAATTATACTTTTTTATTCTTGTCTCTCCATACGGTGTTGTTAAAATATTCAATAGTTAACATGTATTCTCACCTCAATATCCTCAGGAAAAAGACGAGCATGACCCACAGTTTCTGATTTTGAAGCAGCTTTTGAAGAGTAAAGCCTCCTCTGAAAGAGAACAGGACTGTTAGCACAACAACGCAAGTAAAATCTTTATTTACTCCCTACAGGTGGAGGCAGGGGACCTAATCTGCTACCAGGGAACTCTAGTGATTTATTTGTATCGGTATCGGCCGATAATCACCGGCAATACCGACATTGAATGGGTGCATCCGCAAGGCGGCACAAGTGGCCGCCTTAGGGCGCACCGGCCTGGGGGGCACTAGATTGGAGTGAAATGCCTGCAGGGACAGGCTCTAGACACCAGAACAACTACATCAAGCTGTAGAGGTTCTGATGACTATAGTGTCCCTTTAAAAATTGCATTTTCTCGTTGAAAATGACTGGCTCCTAACTTCTTTAGCTGGCTCCTAGATTCCAAACATATTTGTCAAGCCCTGATTTACTCAGTGTAAATCGCGGAAGCAGCCTCTAGTGGCTGTCAGGGAGACAGCCACTAGAGGCTAGATTAACCCTGCAGTGTAAACATAGCAGTTTCACTGAAACTGCTATGTTTTCAGCTGCAGGGTTAAAACTAGGGGTACCTGACACCCAGACCACTTCATTGAGCTAAAGTGGTCTGGGTGCCTATAGTAGTCCTTTAACTCCTATATGGTAGTGAAACTTCAGGAGGCATGATATATCCACCAAAACTGCTTCATTGAGCTAAAGTTGTTTTGGTGGCTATAGTGACCCTATAAAAAAGTAAATACAAGAGCCATTTATTCTATTCACTGGTAAGTAGGACATTAATCACCACCTAGCAGATGGCAACTGTTGGGAGAGCCATTGTTGGACTTCCAAATTATGGTTCAATGACAAAACATGCAGCACTAACGTTCAGTTTCCCCACACTCTTCATGGCGCTCTGCATGGAGACGCTAAACGTTCCCGATATTCAATGCATCTCGATGAGGAGATGGTGATAGGCAAAGGGCGCTTTTATGGGAAACAACTGGATTGGCTGAGATCATCAGAATTGGGGGGCCATAAATGATGTTTCACGTTTGTATTCCTGACACTATAGTGTTCCTTCCCGTAATGCAAGCCATAACAGCCATATAGTGAGTGGGAACTCAAACTATTTTGTATATAAATCATAACACATACTTTCACATGTTACCACAACTCACTTCAGGGAGTACAGACTCAGGGTTACTCAGGCTGTGAATTGTCAGGAATTCAGAATTAATTCAACATTTTAGGCCAAAATAGCCAACTTTTCCAAGTTTGCTATGTTTTTTTTTTTTTTAGCCTTAAATCTGAAGTTCACTTTCAATTCCCAAATTTAGTGAATAAGCTTGTCTACTGCATTTGAAGGCATGAGATAATTCACCGACTATAAATGTGTACTTCCCACAGTCTATAGGGATATTGGACATAAACAGTGAGATGGCTGAGCAGGTCAGGACACAGAGAGGCCCTTCATTAATAATGGAAGCTGCTGGTGACAGCATGCAGGACACAGAGAGGCCATACATTAATGACATTGTTATATGTGCTCCAGCATTCTAAAACAAGTTCTAATCAATACACATCCTGTGCAATGCATGGAGAGAGCCATTGATTGCTTAATAATAATAATAATGATGATGGAAGCTGCTGGTGACAGCATGCAGGACACAGAGAGGCCATACATTAATGACATTTTTATATGTGCTCCAGCATTCTAAAACAAGTTCTAATCAATACACATCCTGTGCAATGCATGGAGAGAGCCATTGATTGATTAATAATAATAATAATAAAAGCTGCTGGTGACAGCATGCAGGACACAGAGAGGCCATACATTAATGACATTGTTATATGTGCTCCAACATTCTAAAACAAGTTCTCATCAATACACATCCTGTGCAATGCATGGAGAGAGCCATTGATTGATGATTAATAATAATAATAATAATAATGATGGAAGCTGCTGGTGACAGCATGCAGGACACAGAGAGGCCATACATTAATGACATTGTTATTTGTGCTCCAACATTCTAAAACAAGTTCTCATCAATACACATCCTGTGCAATGCATGGAGAGAGCCATTGATTGATTAATAATAATAATAATGATGATGATGATAGTAATAGTAGAAGCTGCTGGTGACAGCATGCAGGGTCAGTGACAGTGAATGGCTGCTCCCATACAGGACAATGGGGTCACCTTCAAGACTCAGGGTGCTCCCAGCCGGGCTAGGACCCCCTGTGACCCCCAGCCCCCCCCAGTCAGGGAGCCCCTCCCCCCGGGGGTCTCGGTGTGGCTCTGGCAGTCACGGTGACAGTCAGGCAGTACCCGGGGTGGGGGGTGTATGGGCACAGTGCCCTGTATCCCTGGTAACACTGGGAGCCGTGCTTACTGTGCCAGTCCCCCCCCCGGGGTGCCAGGGCAGGCTGGGCGGACACGGGAGGTGCTGGTATCGGGGTGAGGCTGACTTACAGACAGGTACCGGGCGGTGGTAAACAGCTTCATGGCCGCGCTCTCTCCTTCAGCCGCACACAGGGAGACAATATGGCGGCCGCCTACCCGTCATGCACCGCGGCTGGAATGGGAGGGTTAACTCTTTCGCCGCTGGCCAGCAGGACGGGCAGATCACGTGACTCGGTCAGCATGGCAGTGGGCTGGCTGCTGCTGTCAGTGCTGGACAGCCTGCGGGGGAGCGGGGAGCAGGGGGTGCTCAGTTATTATCTGGAACACCGCAGCAGCTCTCATCATTGGTTACAGTTCGGAGTTTAGTGAATAGCAGGGCGAGAATTCAGAGGGATTTCCAAAGTTAAATTCTCAAAGTCAGCTGTGCTTCCAGTTCGGCAACCGTAACATCTCCATCTAAATTAGCTTGTTATTATTATTATTATTATTATTAAATATGGAATTCCTGACAATTCTCACTTTAGTAAATAACCCTTTCTGAATTCCCTACAATTGTAATTCCCAAACTGTGTGCCGCGGCGCCCTGGGACAGACACACAGGGACGCCGCGAGACTGTGCCGCCCTCTCCCCTGATCAGAGATCTCCCTGTCCGGCCCACTAGCAGTGTAATGCAAGCAGGGGAGGGAGAGAGAGAGGACCCGGGGAGCTCTAACCTGCAACTCCGCCAGGTTCTCCTCTTGCGAGCTTAGAGTGTTACCATGGCGACTCTCCGAATCTCGCGAGAGTGAACTACAGCAGCTCCTGAGGCTCCTAGAGTTTACTCTCACCACTGGGACCACCAGGGCTTCTCCACTGGACAACCAGGGATTACAGGAAATGTCTCCCCTCCCAGGCAAAGGCAAGCAGGGAGGGGGGATATGAAAGTAATATTTTTTTTTTAATTAAAAAACCCCCCCCACATATTTCTTAATCTCCCCTCCTAACCCCACATACCCACAATAACTCTCCCCATACACACACACTGCCCCCACACACACTGCCCCCCATACACACACACACTGCCCCCCATACACACACACTGGCCCCATACACACACACACACTGCTCCCCCATACACACACTGCCCCCCATACACACACACACTGGCCCCATACACACACACTGCACCCATACACACACACACTGCTCCCCATACACACACACACACACTGCCCCCATACACACACACACTGGCCCCATACACACACACTGCCCCATACCCACACACACTGCCCCCATACACACACACACACACTGCCTCCCCATACACACACACACTGCCCCCCACACTCTCTGTACCCCCCCACACACTAACTGCACCTCTCACGCACACACTACATCCTTCACGCACAAACTGCAAGCCTCACACACACACTGCACCCCTCTCACACACACACACTGCACCCCTCACACACACACACTGCATCCCTCTCACACACGCATGCTGCACCCTTCACACACTTCACCGCTCATACACACAAACTATGGCCCCTATCCCCTACTGCAGCCCCTATCCTGGCAGATTCCAAGTAAGATGTAAAACTATTCTTAAACAGTTTGACTACTTACTCTGGGAGGGCACCAAGGCATTCCTGGCACCATCACCACTACAGAGTGCTGTAGTGGTTAATGTGCCTGGATTGTTTCTTTAAATAATCTACCAGTGCCCCTCCCAAGATTAGGTTCTGGATCTGCGCCTGAACGGCAAGCATTTCTGACGAACAGGGGCCCAGTGTATGCTGCAGCGCTGTACATATATACAACCTAGAAAACTGTTGTGACTTGAGGCTCTTTGGAAAAATATTAAAATATTAAGGGCGCCTTGAACCTAAAAAGTTTGGGAACCACTGGGTTATGGAAATAATTTTTTTTTTTGGAGAAATAGATTTGAAGCACAAAAATAGCACCTCATACTAGGAGAACCCATAACCACCATTGACTATCTTGTATTTTGTCTTGCAGATCACTTAAAGGGGCACTGTAACTGCTTCACCCGATGGAAATGGCTATAGTGTCTGGAGTCTGGTGACACTTAGTCCCCACTGGGTCCACTAAGCTTCCAGGAGGATTGGAAAGCGGAATCCTGTGAACCACACAAGCGCATCCAATATGGCCGCCGCGCTGCAACCTAAGCACGATTACCAGATTTTACTAATTACATGACGTAAAGTCATGATTTTATAAAGGACATGGAGGCGAGTATTAGGCTTATTTCTTTCTTTTATTCCTCAGCAGCAAAGAAAGCTAAGGTAGTCATATTATAGAAAAAAAAAGTATAACTACCCTTACAGGGTTAACATTACATCATCATCTCTTAACCAATAGGAACAGTCCACCTATGATATCCTCTCATGTAATCTCCACCTCTTCCTCTTTACTGATGATGCCGAAGCTAATAATCACCAACAACAATTAATAACTCGTAATTAACCATAACGTAACAGGCTGGTAGCCGACTTCTCGACGATGAAACTTTTCGAGAGACTTAAACCTCGAATCTCCACGAACTGTTCTTCTTAACTGTGGAAAATCCGCTTTGTCTTCAATGGGCATCTGTAGATTTCAGGCTAGAAAGGACAGAGAAGACAAATGGTAAAACGTGTCCTTGCCAACTATTTTCCTCTTATCATATTACTGAAAAATGTAGCCATTTATTTAATCATTTATACGTAAACATGCTGTCATTACTATCCGTTATACTTGAAATAACAAACCATAGAAGTGATAACTCATTCATTGCTATAGTACCTATTACGTACCTGGGTTGGGATACATAAAGTTTGGTTGTATGTGATCCGGGTGGGCTAATACTCGCCTCCGTGTCCTTTATAAAATCATGACTTTATGTCATGTAATTATTAAAATCTGGTAATTTTATTAAAGGACACAGAGGCTCCTATTAGGCTAGTTCAAAGTTGTGAAATAACCATACTTGACACAGGTTCTGTAGGTCGAAAATAATATTCTTTAAATGTCGATTCACAAGAGGTCCTCTAACCTACAGCCTAAATTGAAAACCTTTGACGCCATGGCTCCTCTAGTAGAGTGTGCGCCATACACAGTGGTATCTTTGTGGGCCAAAGTCATTATCCATTTCACCCAGCGGGCCAGAGTTACCATGAATACAGGGTGGTGAGGCTGTTTGATAAAACAATCGGGTTCCTGAATCCCAAGGTTCGTTTCTCGTATTCCCGTAAACAGTTCACTGGGCAGAGTTTACTATTATGTGGGAACGAAGGGTATGAACCTGAGGTAATTGATGACTTTGTATGCCTGGAGATGTTGAATAAAACTTCTGTGGTAAAGGAGGTGCATCTAAATCCAGCGCTCTAACATCGGACACTCTCTTGCAAGAGATCAGGCAAAGGAGTTGTTTAAGTGTGAGTGCTTCATTTTGTGGCCAAGTTTCCAACAGTTGCAGAACTGAATTGACATCCAACAGTGACGTGTATCGGGGTTGTGGTGGATGAGCAAACCAAATTCCACGTAGGAGACAGCATACCAATAGTTGTTGACCCATCGGGGTCCCATCTATTCCCCGATTTCCTGCTGAGATTGCCGATCTGTAGACTTTAATGGTGCGGTAGGCCAAGCCATGGTTGTACAGGTTGGTAAGGAAGTGTAACAGGTAATTTACAGGAGCACGTACAGGATCCACCTGTTGTTACATGCACCAACTACTCGATCCGTTCCAGGCGTAGAGGTAAGAGCGTCTTGTTCCAGGTGCCCAAGCTCCTGCCAGTATCTCGATAGTTTCTTGTGGAACAACTGGTACTATCCAGGGTCCCCTGAAAGGAGTTTGAAGTGCCCCTGGACCAGAACGGGTGTGGGTTGCCCTCTGGGTCTGATAAAAGGTGTAAGACATCTGGTAGTAGTCTCGGAAGGTCTATGGACATCTCCATGAGTGCTGGAAACCACGGTTGAGCTGTCCAAAACGGGGTTATGAGGACCAATGACGCTTGAGTACGTCTGAGGTGCACCAGTGTTTGAGCGATGAGGGAGAACGGAGGAAATGCATACAATCGGCTGTTCGGCCATTGTTGGAGAAAAGCATCCGCTGCTAGGGTGTCTGGGTCTGGTCTCCAGCTGAAGAATGTTGGCAATTGGGAGTTCAACCGAGACGCCAATAGATTGATTCGCATCGGGCCCCAGAGCGTCTGAAGTCGCAAGAACACACTGCGGTCTAGTCGCCAGTCGCTGGCGTCTTGCAGATGTCTGGAGTACCAATCCGCTACTATGTTGGACATGCCCGGGATGTATTCCGCTTGGACCGAAATATTGCGAGCCAGGCACTGTTGCCAGAACTCCTTGGCCAGGTCTGCCAGTATCTTTGATTTCGTGCCACCGAGGTGGTTGATGTAGCAGACTGCTGACATGTTGTCCATTCGTAGGACAATCGAGCAGTTGGTTGCGGTCCCAAGGAGGCTCTTCAGGGCGAATGACCCAGCCATGAGTTCCAAACTGTTGAAGTGTAATTCTTTCTCTGAGTATGACCAAATTCCTCCGGTGGAGGTAGGCCCGCAACGCGCTCCCCAACCGTGTGTACTCGCATCGGACTCTACGATGAAATCCGGGGCAGTCCCGAAAATTGCCCTGCCGTTCCATGCCTCCATATGATGCAGACACCAGGTGAGTTCCTGTTTGGCCACGTAGTCGAGTGGCACGGAGTCGGAGTATGAGTGCCCCGAGCGTAGCTGTGTGGCTTTTAGTCGTTGCAGGGCCCTGTAGTGTAGCGGCCCCGGGAAGATTGCCTGGATGGAGGCTTATAGGAGTCTGATTATTCTGGCTAGTTGTCGCAGCGTTAACACTGATCTCCTTTTTTATGATCTCCTTTTTTTATGCTCTTGACTTTCTCTGTTGGTAGATTGAGTGTCCCGATAGTTGCGTCTATGTGGAATCCTAGGAATTCCATGTTTTGGGACGGGGTAAGTACCGATTTTTCCCGATTGATGAGAAATCCCAAATTTTGTAGCAAGGTCAGTGCCCAGGAGAGGTGTTGTCGAAGTTGAAGAACCTCGTGTGCCATGATCAGCATATCGTCCAGATATATGATCATCCATATGCCTCTGCTGCGTAATAAGGCAACCACAGGCTTGGTGAAGCACCAAGGGGCCGATGAGATTCCAAAGGCGAGGCATCGGAATCTCCATGTTGCCTTTTCCCATTGGAATTGGAGCAGGTGGCGACACTCTTCCGCAATAGGGATTGTGAGGTAGGCGTCTTGTAGGTCCAGTTTGACCATCCAGTCCCCCAATCTGAGCAAGTCTCGCAGGCAGTGGAATGGTGGTACCGGACAAATGCGTTTAGGGGCCGCAAGTTGATGACTGGGCGTACTCCGCCGCCCTTCTTGGGTACCAGAAATAGATTGCTCATGAACCCAGGGAAGAGTGAGGTGACCTGATATATTGCGCCTTTTTCTTGTAGGATGAGAATCTCTTTGCTCACCAGGCCCTTGTCGTGTGCAGAGAATGCTATTCGGTGCGGCCAGGATGTTTGGACAGGGGGTTGTACAAACTCTATGTGGTACCCCACGACAGTATTTAGGACCCACACGTCTGATGTCAGTTGTTGCCAGGTCTCTATAAAGTGTAACAGTCTGCCCCCCACAGTAGGTATACCCGGGGAGGAGAAAGGTAGTACACTCACCATAAGGCCGTCGGCTGTATGAGTTGCCTCTGGGTCCTCGAGGTTGCCATGGTCTGCCTCTGACCGGAAAGAAGGGTGAGGGCAATCTGTTCTCTGGAGGCTGAAATCTAGCCGTGGCGGGACCTCGATATCCCCAGTAAGAACCGCAGGAGAGATCACTCTCTTTATGCTCGTCTGTGCCTTGTCTAGGGCCGTAAATGTGCTTACGTAAGTGCTTAGTTCCTTAACAAATCTGTCTCCGAACAGGAGATCTTTGGCTTGCTGTCCCGGTTCAGTGAGGGCCATATTTACGAGCTTGGGCTCGATTTAATCAAGATGGTTTTGCGCCTTTCGGTTGCTAGCGCAGCATTAGCGTTGCCGATGAGGCATATGGATCGCTGGGCCCAGCCTCTAATGGCCAATAAATCTATAGCTGTCCTCTCAGTTAAGGCTGCCTCGAACAGTTCAAAGATCTTGGCACTAGGGCCTAGTGTATCCAGTACTTTATCCTGGCAATGGCGTAGGGAATAATCAAGTCTCTTTTTTGCTTTCCAGGAATTGTGCTACTTTGGGGTCTATGTCTGGTGTGGCTCAGGCCATATCGCGGACCGTTGGGCGTTGGCATTCTGCCCACTGTTTATTCCTGGTGGCCTTATCAAAGGGCTTATGGATTCTGGCCGCTATGTAACGTGCCACATGATCGGTCGGGTACCATTCAGCCGACCTAGGGTTTTGTAATGTATCAGGGTCGAACAGAGGTTCGCCCTGGGGATCCAAAATAGTGGATGTATCAGCGGCATCATACATGGGGGTGTTTGGATTGCATGGCGGACTACGTTCCGGGGAGGAAACCTCACATTCGCTTGAGTCGACCTCGTCGGACTCGTTCGAAACCTCCTCAATATCCGAACCAGAGTCGGAAGAGTCTATTAGGGCTTTTGTCCTCTTCCATGACCGCACCGCTTTTGCATGGCGGGTGGCTCATTTTCATGGGGGCCCCACGACCTCAGTGGTGACAGGTCGTACCCTTTTTGGAGGTGTGCGTTTCCACATTGTGGATTTTACTTGTGGCTTTACAGGCTTCCCCGCGTACTGGCCCATCTTCAGATGCTCTCTCTGGTGCGGGTTATCTTGGGGTTGGATACCCTGATGGCATTGGTAATGGAGTGTGATATGTTGTCAGACATAACCCCCATTGCAGTATAAATAGCTTGAGTGACTGACTTTGACATGGTGGCGCCTAGTAGCGAGTGGAACTCTTCCGAGTCCAGCTGCTCCAAAGGGGCCACTGCATCCCCTTGTAGGGGTTGGGGTCCTGGCACCGCGGCTTGGTGATGGGACTTGGCGTTCTCATTATCAATGGGGCCAGAGGCAGGGTACTCACTAGGGGCCTGCATATTAGGGCACTAAGTGGTAGGATAAGTAGTATAGCAAAGTCTGCTAGTTAAAGGACCACTATAGTGCCAGGAAAACATACTCGTTTTCCTGGCACTATAGTGCCCTGAGGGTGCCCCCACCCTCAGGGACCCCCTCCCGCCCGGCTCTGGGGAGAGGAAAGGGGTTAAAACTTGCCTTTTTCCAGCGCCGGGCGGGGAGCTCTCCGCCTCCGATCCTCCTCCTCTCCTCCCATTCGGCTGAATGCGCACGCGCGGCAGGAGCTGCGCGCGCATTTAGCCGGTCTCATAGGAAAGCATTTATAATGCTTTCCTATGGACGCTTGCGTCTTCTCACTGTGATTTTCACAGTGAGAAGCACGAACGCCTCTAGCGGCTGTCAATGAGACAGCCACTAGAGGCTTTGAGCTGGATTAACCCATTTATAAACATAGCAGTTTCTCTGAAACTGCTATGTTTATAAAAAAAATGGGTTAACCCTAGCTGGACCTGGCACCCAGACCACTTCATTAAGCTGAAGTGGTCTGGGTGCCTAGAGTGGTCCTTTAAGGTTCAGTATTAGCCAAACACTGCAGTGACAGGCTAGAGGCTGATAGTCAGGAGACAAGGCAACAAGACAGAACAAAAAATGCCACACTGTTAGCTTACCGAGTATTCCCTCAGGAATGGCCTCTGGGGGAACTGGCAAGCTAACAGGCAGGCAAACGGGCCAATCAGCTCGCGCCCTCCTGATGGGCTGTGTGAGCTGAGAGGAAAAAAGAGCGTCAAAGGAAGCTTTTCACCGCCCCCTTAGGATGGTTGCCATGGTGTGCAGCTGGGAAAAATGCATGCACCCGCTCGTGGAAGATGGCGGCAGGGAGTCCCTCTCGGGAAAAACGAGCCGTTCCCAGAGGGGTTCCCTGCGCCTGGCATCTAAGTGCCGCGAATGTGACCGGTAATAAACTACCCGATGGGGATAGAGTTAGTCGGTACACCCGCCCTGGATGTAGGTTGATCACAGCAGACGACATCTCTTTTTGTTCCTCACACATTACCTGCAAAAGTTTAGTTAAGGATGAGCTGAACTTTTATATTTGCTATTTCTTCCTAGTCTTCCACTGCTAACACCCAGTGTCACCACTGCTAATCACCTTGTCAGTTAGTTTATCTTGTTATTATCCGGTGCTCTTATAATTCCTCCCTGACATATATGCTCTGCTGTTTTGTGACATACTATAACACTCCTGTCTGGATACCCCCTTTTCATCAGATTCGGTATACTCCTCGCCTTAGACAAGTATGCATAGCCTGACACTACTAATACTTAGCCTAGTTTGGCATTCCAGGAATATACTTTGTTTTATTTTATTTTATATTTACCTTGTTTACTCTTTTAGTGACTTTGTCTACGCATTACACTACAGTATAATTGATCAAACTATGCCTTGGACATTTGTCACTGTTTTTGTGCTGTCACATCATTGCTCATGTGGAAAATGTCACGAGTGTACCATTGTATTGCATGTTCAAATTATGCCACAATAAAATCAAAGGTTGACAAAAAAACTAAATGCACATTACTCTGTGTTTTATAGTTGGGGAGCTCTGTAATATACTTGGAGGCACATTACTGGGAGTTGTATTGTTGTGGAGCTCTGTGACATACTCATACACTGCCCATTACTATGATTTTATTGTTTTGGAGTTCCGTGATAAACTGGTAAACACCACATAGTACTGTGAGGGATATTTTTGCTGTGGATATCCATGATATGTGGATTAACAGTGTAGTGCTACCAGTTTTTGCAAGGAAGTCAAGGTAAGTAAGGAAAATCCGGAGCTCCAAAGCAAAACGACTCACAGTAACATACTTAGTCTGCCTCTCTGTAATGCAAGGGAGGTGGTCTGGCACCTCAGAATTGCACTTCTGTTGGTTGCACACCATAAGTAGCTGTATCCCGAGCCAATCAGAGCACTGCCGGGGATTACCACAGGAAAGCTCTGATACTGCAAGTTCCTGGGCTCGCTAGAAAGTTACTCATTTTCTGCAGACCAGATTCCCAATAAACTGGACCACCAGAGATCAACATGCCCCCTCCCTGCAAGGCAACAACAGGGAAAGGGGAATTAATTGTTGTTTTTAAATATATATTCATTTAATTAATCCCCTACACACACACACTATACAAGGATGAAGGGGTATGACCAGAGAGCGCCGCTGTGAAGATTTTTCACACAGGGCACCTAAGACCAGCCCTGAGTCTGAGAAGCAATGGATGGCTGTGATTGGCTGAGGGTGTCAGCTGACCACTTTCAACCTATCACAGTTCACAGTGGCCATTGCAGGTATAAATTGGTATGGCTGGAAGGAAGTGTATAATCTCGGCCTTAGCCATATTTCCTGTAGGGCCCAAACTGTAGATGGTCACTAACCCATATTTAGAATTAAATTGCTTGAAAATGGTTTAACACTGAATGGAGGGACAGTGCCAGGGGACTCGGGCACATAAAGCAGTTCAGTGTGATGCAATCATTATGGTACCCTACAGTGTCCTCCATTATTAATAGAAGGGATTTTTAGAATGACTGGCAGCACACCAGTATATTGCAGCACTAAGACAGCCTCTAGAGGTTTTTTTTTTTTAGGATTTTTCTAGACTTGAGGTCGCCTAACTGACACTGCTCTGCATGAAGACATTTAACTTCAGTGAATTATGAATAGAAAAGCATTGAGACTTGCCACGCATGCATACTAGCGTGCCCCCCCTTTGGATGACATCGGAGGAGATAGAGTGCTGCCTGGGATTGGCTGCCTGGGATATAGAGCAAGGGTGCTCTATATTGTTAGGAATACATGTTTGTATTCCTAAAGCTACACATTCCATGTTAATCTTAAATTTTCTTTGAGCACAGTCAGGTGACTAACTACAGAATAGGCATTTTTTTTTTTAAATGTCAGTTTTGTAATGTTATACACAGACATCCAATTGAGTTCACGTCGGGTGAGCTGATCTGGGTCACTTCTGATTCAAAAATTATTAGAGTCGCCATTAGAGAAATAAAGAACAGCTACTGTTTGCAACTCAATAGATGGAATATGAATAGCAGGAGAGAATGCTTCCCACGCTGGCGTGCCAAAATAATTCAATGATGCTATGGCAGAACGCTCAATTAAAAGAACTAAACTACAATGCCCATTATTTCCTCAATTAATACTCAAGTGGTTTATTAATCCCTAAAAGATACATTCACTAAACAGTAAGTTATTATATTGTTACACCTGTCACTTCTGGTTCAACTTAAAGGAAAACTACAAGGGGAAATGACCACATATTTTTAAGTGCATTAAATATTGTTATAAGAGAAAAGAAGCAAAAGCATACGTGTATTTAAAGTTCCCTCTATGCATTGTTTGTTTAATGGGCCTGTCTGCAGCTTTTGGCAAAATCCTTAATAATTATGAAGATACAATCAAACAAGAGCATTTTATTCAGGTCCAAGAGGTCTCTTGCTGTCCTATAAACCACTGACCAGCTCAGCTTTTTTGGCCTTAAACTCACAATTCTGTTTTTGGTTTACTTCGATTCACTGTTGAGTTTATAAACATCTTACAGGATTATTAAACTGTGAATTGTCAGGCACTTGGTTACTAAAATGTTAACCCAAAATAGGCAAACGGAAACTTAAAATATCCCCGTTTCTAGTTTTGCTATTCTGTTGAACAACCCCGAGAATTCCAACATCGGGAAGCTGTCACTTGAGACAGGAATCAGGTTCAAGAGAGGGTGGGCAGGGTTGTGATGGAAGAGCTGACCTTGACATGGAGACACTCTGGCCGACTCCACCAGTGGCGGATCCAGAGCCTGATCTCGGGATGGGGCACTTGTAGATTATTTAAATAAATAATCCAGGCACAATAACCACTACAGCTCAGTGTAGTAGTTATGGTGCCAGTAGTGCCAGGATCCCATTCCAGAGTAAGTAGTCAAACCGTTTAAGAACAGTTTGACAACTTACCTGGGGTCTGCTGGGATATAGGGCATAGGAGCAGTGGTATGTGTGAGGGGTGAAATGTGTGTGAAAGGTGCAGTATGTGTGTGTGTGCGGTGAAGAGTGTGTGTGAGGGCGGCAGTGTATGTCAGGGTTGCTGTGTGTGTGTTAGGGGGCAGTGTTTGTGTGGGGCAGTGTGTGTGAGAGTTGCAGTGTATGCATGTATGGGGGGCACTACTGAGGTGGAATCTCGGTAAAAATAAATTTAGTAGGCCGAGATTACCACGTGGCATGTGTACGTGCATATGCTGACGTATCGATCAGTAGTGTACGGAGCATGTGCAAGAATACAGGATGTAGTATTCCCCTCCTCCATTGTGCTGGACAAGCCATGCGGTCAAGCAGGAAGTTAATTCTTATTTGTAATGATTGGTCAAGAGAATGTGCGGGTGGAGCTTAATATGGGAGGAGTTATGTGCCTATATAGGGAGCCTGCACTATTGTTCAGGGCTCAGAACTTGCTGTATTTTTGGTGACATTAGTCCCTCTGAGTCCCGATCGGTGATCCAATAAAGAATCTCTTCCTTCCTGAAGAAACCTGTGTCCATCCCTCTGTGCTTTGCTTCCGTCAGTTTCTCCGGTATCATTTGGTGCATTGGCCGGGAAGCTCATCGTTCAACGGTAGCTGAGAGGCAGAGGCGTGAGACGGTCTATCTTTGCCCACGTTCTCTACGGCTGCACCCCTGAACTTCTGCGTGGACCTCCCTTCGTCTCGGCGCCACTGGTCTGTTGTCCAGGAGATCATCGGCCTCTACGTAAGAAGTGCTGGGGTGTCCCCGTCGATGAGTGTGAACTCAGGTTCAGGAACGAGGAGGTAAGACAACTGCTGTTTTAGACGGCAGACCCACTAGGGGTATACCGATTGTGCGGTAGGCCCAAAAGGGGTTTAAATCTGTGTATGGAATCTGCCCCCTCTGTCGGAGGGAAGGAGCGAAGGCGCACCGCTCGATCGAACGCTCTTTAGTAAGACCGTTTGATCTGGTTAGTCAGGCGGGGTCCTGTGTAAATAGCCCTAGCCGGACACCGGTGTCTTGTCTAGACTAGCGTTCTAGGGTGTATATTACGTTCGCTAGGTCGGAGGGACCGGGAGACTAAGCGGCGCCTGTGTAAATTCGGTTCGCTAGCTCTCAACCTATCTTGGCTAAGTGGGAAGGCGTGTAAATTTGGAACCCACTAGACTTTTGATAGAGTAAATAGACTAGAAGGGCAATTTTGTAAATTTCGCCCTCTAGTTCGCTATATGTGGTGTTTGGGCAGTGTGGCTAACCAAAACGGGTGTATATAGTTTTAGGTAGTCCATTCAAGGTACTGGCCAATAGTTTAGTTGGGATTGTAAATGTGTTAAAGATTGTTAGTAAAGTGTATATCTTGTTAGATAGCGCGAGCTCAGCCGTCTAGCGAGAGTGTTAATAGTGTGTTGCTGTATCATAGTGCACGGTACCATAACCCTGTATATTTACTGACACTGTATATAAGTACTAATCATTGTCGTCTATTGCATGTTTAACACCGTAACCACTAATAATTGTATTGTGACCTTAAATTGTGCTTTGACCTATGCTAACCGTACTGTAACCGATACTAGTAAAAGACGATGTTACTGGGGTGTGTTATAGACGGGTAATTCATATATAGAGAATTATAGCGTGGGTGACTGTATAGTTTCGCCAAAGGGCATAATATTGATTATTTAGTGACTGGTGTAACAGCTGTGTGTGTACGGGAATTCCCTGAGTGATTATTGTGTTATTGTGTACGTTTCACTCGGTAACTGTACCACGTGGTGCTGTTGCCAGAGGAAACGGGTGTGACTGTTGAATAAGAACGCGTGCATAGTATTCGTTGTCAACGACGTTCCATTGATAAGTATGGGCGCGTCAGAGTCAACGATTTCGGATCCCTTAGGTTGTATGGTAAAGAATTTTAAAAAGGGATTCAAAACATGTGATTTTGGGGTTAAAATGTCTCCTGTACGTTTGGTCACTTTGTGCACTAGGGAGTGGCCTATTTTGGTTGCGGCATGGCCGCCGCGTGGCAGTTTGGATCCAACCCTGGTACAGCGTGTACACGTGGCTGTGTCAGGTAGGCCTGAACTTTACGGACAGTTTCCATACATTGATTGTTGGGGGCAGGCCGTAAACGACTCGCCAAAATGGATCCGGATATGCCACGAGGAGCAATGTCGCCTCATGGTGGCCAGGACTTGTTTGTCCACTAGGACTGGTGTTAGGCCCATTT